AAACGAATGCGCGAATATTTTATAAGCCAGGCAAGGAGAATTTAGTTGCTGATGCGCTATCGCGACAACAGCTCAACACTCTTGACGAGGTGAATACTGATTCCTGCCACAGTCCACAGCGAGCTGTCCTTGACCTATACAATTGAGACGACCGAAAAGCCGCTTAATTGTTTCCAAAATCAAATTGTCATTGAAGAGGCACACGTCCCCACCAAACGCAACTCCATTCTTTTCGGGGACAAGAGGCATCATGAAGTGGGCTTCACTGATCACACAGCCCTTTTAAATGAACTGCTTGACTTGATTAATCCAAATGCGGTCAATGCCCTCTATTGCAACCTGCACACACTAGCACAGGTGCAGGATGGCTTAGTTCGCATGTTTCCAGGCACAAAGTTCTGGCACTGCAAAAACCGAGTTGCAGATGTCTTCAATGATGAGAGGAGATGAAATTCTCGTTGCCGAACATAATAGAGCGCACAGAGCAGCTCAAGAAAATGTTAAGCAAGTGTTATCAGAATACTATTTCCCTAAAATGGCGAAGAAATTGCGGAAAATTGTAGAATCTGCTCAGCAGCCAAATACGACAGGCACCCGGAAAGACAGGAGCTGGGAGAAACTCTGAGGCTCCTGGATAATTGCTACAAATTGATATTTTTTCCACGGACAAAAAATTTTTTTGACCTGCGTTGATAAGTTCTCTAAATGTGCAGTCGTACAACCAATTCAGTCGCGCACTATCGGGGATTTAAAAGCTCCACTACTGCAGCTCACGAATTTCTTTCCACGAGCCAGAACAATTTATTGCGACAACGAGCCTTCGATGAACTCTCAAACGATAAAGACCCTGCTGTTAAGCAAATATGGAATTGTTAATGCGCCGCCGCTCAATAGCACCTCCAATGGCCAAGTCGAGCGCTTCCATAACCTTCTAGCCGAGCTGGCACGTTGTCTCAAGCTGGAAAGAAACATCAGTGACTCAGTCGAAGTCATAATGCTAGCCATGATTGAGTATAACAAGACAATACATTCGGTCATCAACAAGAGACATGTTGATGCCCTCCATGTGCCCTCAGGCGAACCCGAAAGGGAAATATCAGCAAAGTAAAGAAGTGCACAAGATGCGTTCCGTGCTAGGTTGAACGACCAGCGACAGAATAGAGTCTTTGAATTAGGCGAAAAAGTTCTAGTAAAAAGAAACCGCAGGCTTGGCAATAAACTCACGCCCTTATGTGAAGAACGGGTCGTAGAGGCAGACCTTGGTACGACCGTTCTCATTGGTGGTCCACAAGGACAACCTTAAGTAGGGCGAGAGCTGAAATAAAACATCGATTATATGCATCTTGAATTTTACTATAAGTTTCAACATTTGTGCCACTAGGCTTCATCTTCAAGTTTTAAAATTTACGCCACTTGGCATTTCCTTTAGGAAGACACGTTGTAATAGTTTAGTCCGTTTTGTCTGTCTTCCGCAGGTTCGGGTTTCTGCTATTTCTATTTTTTGCAAATGCGGCAGCGCGTGTGGCTAATTACTCACACTCCAAGTATTCCCATTGTTGAGGGCCAAATTCTGGTCTGGGAGGAATTCAATTTCGTCAGGCACACAGCAAACATCTCTGAGTACGAGAAAATGGTAAACGAAACAATGGAGCTATGTGAAATGTTTCCGCAGTCACACATGAGAAAGCTTCTAAACGTAGAAGCGTCCCACCTCAGAGATCTGTTAGAAGCTCTTGGCGTGCACCACAGGGTGGCAAGAAGTTTAGATTTCTTGGGCACAGCCCTCAAAGTAGTTGCGGGAACACCTGACGCCAGTGACTTCGAGAAGATCAAATTCACTGAGTTACAGTTGGTGAACTCTAACAACTGACAGGTAGCTATCAATACAAAAGTTCAGGAACAAATCAATCAACTCATTACAAGTGTCAACACAATACTAAAAGCTGCAAAAAAGAATCAGATAGATTCCGGGCATTTATACGAAACTCTTTTAGCTCGGAATAGAATGTTGCTGATGGAAATGCAGAATTTGATGCTCGCTGTTACCCTTGCAAAAATTAATATCATAAGCCCAAATATATTAGATCACGCAGATTTGAAATCTGTTTGGGTCGATGAACCCACAGGTACTTCAATAGCTGACCTTATGTCCGTTGCGTCCGTGAAAGTATTACTATCTGTTAATGCCCTTCACGTTATCATTAAGTTCCCGAAAATCAAAATGGCTTGCAGAAAGGTGATGCTGTATCCAGTTACACATGAGAATGCTGTGCTACAAATTGACGACAACATTATAGCTGAGTGCGGAGATCAAGTGCTTGCCCTAAGAATTGCACTTCCACGCCGGGAGGAACCTTTTGTCAACTTTCACCGACCAGCTCTTGTGCCAGAGAGCTGCATGCTGGTGGCTTGGAAAACTTAGACCACTTAGACCCGATCACATGGGTCGATGACGGAATTCTGATCATCAATAACCGGCCTGCTAAAGTTTGCGTTGACAACGGTACTGAGACTTGGGTTCACGGAACAAATCTAATCACGTTCAATAATTGGGCTCTGATCAACGAAACTAAGTACTTGAATCGCAACAACGTCCAGAGTAAGTTTCCCGGCATCGCGGCATCTCCCCTTCTGAACGTCACCGGCCACCAAGACGTGTTGAGTCTCCCCTACCTTCATCGCCTGAATGAACGTAACCTGGAGATCATCAAGGAAGTCAAGGACGATATTGGAAGCGTCGACAGCGTGGTAATAGCCTTCTTGTTGGGTGCTGTGTGTTGCACTATTATTTGCGTCGGAGTCACCTACCATCGGTTCACCAAAAACATGGCATCGGCCAAGGAGATTAAGAAGGTGATCGCCGAGATAGGAACGGCCGAGGGCGGCCTTAACTTAAAAGGGGAGCAGTTAACAGAGGCCAACGACACCAGCTCCAGATGCTGATATAGCACTGAGCCGGATGTTCTTACGAGCTAACAGGGGTCAGCAAAATGCAACATAACACCAGCCGTAGATGCTGACATAGCTCTGGGCCGGATGTTCTTGCACGACGGCAGCGCACGAGGCGCAAGCTAAGCATTCTAGCGGCCGTTGTGAAAGCACGCAATAGCTTAGGTATTTTTGATCAATCTTTTGTAAATTTAGTTTTTAATGCGGCTTTCACTGAGACACATCGGCCCAGAGACTTCGCGCTTAAATTAACACACTCACTAAGGCGTGTCGGCCTAGTGTTTTAGAAATCATTATCCAAATAAAGTTGAATATAGATAGTCCGCGAGGACTAATTATTTAAAATCCTAATTTATACATACATTATAATTACAAAGGTTGGTATCATTTGCTCTAGTAGATATCTGGTAACAAATTCATCTAGGTTAACATTGGTTCCCCAGTTCGATGGAACGACTGACGAAATATTATATATGTAATTATAACGCTTCAAAAGCCAGATGGCCATTTGAAGCAAAGATTTCGACGCATAGGGAAAGGACCTGAAAATTACCCAACAAATATAGTCGCCATAATAAAGACATGCTGCATTCCAAAAGTCTATAACGGCAGCATCATAACAGTGACAATTAAGAAATCGCTTTTAACGAGGTACGTGAGAAGCCACACGGAAGTCATACATCTAATGATAATAATCATGGTGCCGAAGAAATAAGATCGGCCACTAGCTCAGTTTGGTGGTAAATGATAGAGCGCCTTGATGCAGAAGCCACGACAGTGCTGTTGCTGCTGACTGATATTTCGGGGTCAAATAAATTCGGGTCATTTTCAATGTACTCATTCATATGTCCTTAATTTAATTCGCATATCAAAAAAATAATTAAACACTATGATTACAACGTACTTCAGTTATCCACCGTGACTCCAGCATGGTTCTTAAGCAAGACCAAAATGTTGTCTATTTTTTGTAAATGAACTCTAATCAGTACATATCTTTGTTTTTTTTTTTTGTTAAAAAATTTTAATTTATTTATTTCGGCGATACAAAAATCTGACTTTTATTTTCGGTTTAGATGTAGATATAGACATGCCAATTTTTCCACGCACTTCGTCAGCGACTTAGTGTTCTTTTTGCCTTCTAATGTGTTATTTATATTATATAAACTGAGAATTATATTCACTGTCTTCATACTTACTTGCGCGCTTGTCAGACAATTTAAGTAAACTTTTTTATATGTTTTAATTATTAACACATTCGTTGAGAATAGCAATTTGGGTACAGATGGCATAAATATTGTATGAAACACTGTGGGATAGAAAAATCTCTCAGATAGGTTAAAATAAATGTGAAAATGTTGGCACGGCAAAACCTTAGGCAGCATCTTGACAGAAAATTGTATATATTTTAATATTTGCTCTGTGCTAATTAATTTTAAAGCAAACACTAGTATGAAATTGCTTGTTTCAGAAACGTGACTACTCCTCATTAAAATATACATATGGAATTGGTCGTGTATTAATAAAATTGGAATTCTGTGTTCCGTTTCCAGAGTTTAAGAATCCTTGCTAATTTCACATTCTGGCATATTCGATCCCAATATTCAAAGCATCTCTACAGAGAATATCCACTGGCAATATAACAAACTTCCGTCTTTTGGGTTTTGGTCGGCTTCTAAGGTGGGTGAAATACGCATAGTTCTCAAATAGAATTCCCTACCTTGTAATACGATCACTTAACGTTTCGATAATATAGCTGTTTTTCTGTTTTACAGGTATGTGCAACCATCGGGTGTATATTAAATTAAAATCAAATTTGAAACTGATGATATTTTCCATGCACCACTCTTAAGCTTTTGTTGAGCAATGTGCAGATTATGGATATGCTGACGCATTTGTAGCTATAAATTGCAGTATTCAACCTTTTTTTGTATTGTATATTAATAGCCACTTATTTTACTTTTATATTTAGATGACTAAAAAAAAATTGTTTTTTTTAAAAGACCAATGATGTGACACGTTATGTCTAGCAATAACATTTCATTTGTTACTAGGTCTATCAATCGTTGGATATGGGTGCCTACCGGTATATGCAGGAATTGTACAGGAAGAAGCAAAGTGATGTTATGCGCTATTTGCTTCGCATCCGTGTTTGGCAGTACCGTCAATTGACAAAATTGCATCGTTCACCCAGACCTACTCGTCCCGATAAGGCACGTCGTTTAGGATACCGTGCAAAGCAAGGCTTTGTTATATATAGAATTCGAGTCCGCCGTGGTGGTCGTAAGCGCCCAGTGCCAAAGGGATGTACATATGGAAAGCCTAAAAGTCATGGTGTAAACCAACTAAAACCATATCGTGGATTGCAGTCTATTGCTGAAGTAAGATATAAAGTATTTGGTAGATGGTTCACTTGTTTTGTGATGATAGTTACATAATTCCTGAAAGATAATGAGTACTAACTTCCTTAGATGTCTGAACCTAATCAAATTAAATTTTTAAAGTGTTATATTACGAAATATTTATTTAATTGTTTGTATTTCAGGAGCGTGTCGGTCGGAGGCTTGGTGGCTTGCGCGTACTAAATTCTTACTGGGTAGCACAGGACGCTTCCTACAAATACTTTGAAGTTATTTTAGTAGATATTCATCATAATGCAATTTGTCGTGACCCCAAAGTAAATTGGATTTGTAAGCATGTGCATAAGCACCGCGAACTTCGTGGGTTAACCTCTGCTGGTAAAAGCTCGCGTGGAATCGGAAAAGGATATAGATATTCGCAAACTATTGGTGGATCTAGACGTGCAGCCTGGAAACGGAAAAATCGCGAACACATGCATCGAAAGCGTTAAAAAGAAATTCGTTTCAGAGAAAACATTACAAATACATGCTAAAAACTGTATACGCATATATATTTGTTGTGTTGTCTTTTTAGGCATTGGCTAAAACTAAAATTATGATTTGCGGGGAGGGTCATATCGAATCATAAATGGGCTAGATGTATATTTTTTGCGGAAGGGTCTGTAACATGCAGAAGGAAACATTCCCGACCCCATTAAGTTTATTCTATATTGAATATCGTCGACTAGACTTAAAATTTGTAACGTTTTCTTTTCGAGCAGTCGAATTCGCCAATTCTCTAGTCACGGAAAAAGAATGTCCAAATGAATCGGGGTGGTGCCTATTTCATGTTTTTTCTGAGGATTCATTTTTCGGTATAGGTATAGGTATTTTATTTAATATAAGCAATAAAAAGCTGTCGATATGGGTGCGGCACAATTGTCCTGTGTCGTGCAGATACGATACTATACGATGAATTTTCACTATTTATGAACTATCGTTAACACTTTTAGATGAGCGAATGAGAGATGTGCGTCAAACTAGCGGCGGTGACTTAGCGTTGATTTTTGGTACTTGGTATCAGAAAAGGAATCGGTCACTTTTAAGTGCATTTATTTATGTTTTAAAGCACAGAACCTAATATATTTAAATGCAGAATTGCAAACAATTAAATTATTTACTGTCTGTATTCATTTGTTTTTCAATTATAATATTTATATATTTATAATATAGATAAACCAAGGGGCTTAAAAATTAGATGTTCACCATTCTTTAAATATCTTAATTTAGGGATAATGGCCTTGAAAATAGCATATACACGATTAAAGCCAATAGTTTCACCTAGCCAACTGTGAAAATTTGATTAAAATCGTGGGAACCATTTTTAAGATAATTGGAAAAAAGTGCAGCAAACAATATTGCCGCCTTTTTTAATGTTAATACATAATATTGCCAGTTTGTGTTTTTTGCATTAACATAGGATATAATGAGAGAAATAGTAAAACGAGAATTTCTCAAAATCTGTAGCAATGATTTTCATGAAATAAATAACAATATGATAGATAAATCGTGCTCTACATGCACAACTTCCGTGCATTTGGGGCCATTATCGAAGAAATAAAATAATAAAGGTTGAAATATTGCTGCCATTTGACAGTATGATATATAATATTGCCAGCTTGTTTTTTTGCATTAACATAGGGTGTAATGAAAAATGTGAAAAAATGCAATTTTCCCATAAGCTGCGCCATTAAGTATGATTGAATACTTCTCATCTAATTTGCTTCGACTTATTAACTTAATTATTTGTGAGTCCTTTCTGTTTTATCATGAATACATATAATTCAAATTGATTAGGTTCCCGCCCAATGCTGTTTAAAATTGTTCAACACTGACTCCAGGCATTGATTCAGTTCGCGTAGGAACTAGCAGTTCGATAGACTACGAATGAACTATTTTTTATATATACTTTATACTTTAAACTGTTTTTATGCTCTTGAATTTAAAACAAAATTGCCTAGTGTATATTATACGGTTTTACTAGAAACCATACAATACATAGACATGCCAAACAGCAGAATAATCGAAACACGATAAATCGCATCGAGGGGACCCCAAGGGTGCCTGCGACAATTTAAGTGTGCCCATATAGATTAAGACTGCGGCAGAACTTCGGCCTCAAAAGCCGAACGTTCAGTATGGAGCCACATCTCGCTCAGCGTTTGACGTCGCTGCCGCTGATGCTTTTTCTTAATATATGTATGTTAGTTTTAATTTCTTACGGTCCAAATACATATGTGTGTATCCATGTGAAGGGTGTGCCTCGCTCTCACTCATTTCATTGCGCACTTGTGTCCATCTCTTTAGCGCTGCATAGCTTCTCACAAAGCCCCGAGATCTAGAAACATACATATGTATGTTTGTGTTGTGTGAATGTGCGCACAAGTAGTTCACAGCGTTTGTCGCGTGCCAGATACTTTTTCTATAATTGTGTGCCTTTTGTGCCTGTGGTAGCAAAAGGCATACGCATTCAATAATAAGAAGAATGGTTGTATGGTTAGTGGCTTTTCCCAACTCAGACATTTGAATCAAATTTAAAAAAATTAATTTTCCATTACCATTCCCGCCAGTCGACCATTAGTATCTTCCCGCACTACAATAAATCCGAAGTATTTTATATATATTTTTTTAAAATGAGTTTGAAGTCAATTGGCCGGTAAACAAAAAGTATTATGCAACGGTTCTCCGAGATTCTTCTAGACTCCCCACAGGGTAAAAATTAAATATTATAATTATAATTTTGCTCACTTTCTTTTCGGGAATCAAAAAAGAATTAGATCATTATTCATTATCAATATACATACGTTAGTCAAATTCCTTAGGGATCAATTAATTAATATTGTAATTAGGTCAATGTCAAAATATATTAGTAATAATCATTTATGCACAGAACTCTAACAGAGAGGGCTACTAAATATATAATTAATGATAAATTACCTATGCAACTTTAATTCAAAAACTAAAAGTATGATTGCATGCTTCGGGATATGCGGAAAAAATATATCATTTAAGGACTTTTTTGTGCCTGAAATAAATACTCCAATTTGAATTTGCTCAGTATTTGACGTTAAGAAAGGTAGCCAAGGTGCCGTCGTACGTTATCGTTGTCTTATTAATGTGGGAGTTACTTTTTGAACTTATCGTAGTATTATATTTGTCGAAGCGGCCGTAGGGTCAGAATTTTTTACATTTTGAGCAGCGAGTCCCGGCATCTTTGTTGGTGGCATTCGCTTCTCTTTTCTAAATTTCACAGTGCACAATCACGTCCGTTCGCTCAGACCATTTACTTCTGTCTGTTCACATCAATCCTTTGCCTCGCAACGCCACGAATAGTAACGAAAACCAGCGGTAAAACCGCTTTTGCTTCTTGCAACGCATCAAAAACCAGCCGTAACCGCTTTTGCTTCTTGCAACGCATCGAAAACCAGCCGTAACCGCTTTTGCTTCTTGCAACGCAACGAAAACCAGCCGTAACCGCTTTTTCTTCTTGCAACGCTTTCTTCGTGTCCTTACACGAATCACCTTACAATGAACTGCACGCACACCAACAACTCTATGCACGGGTCTCACTCAGTGAGAGAATTAACAGTTAGTCCTCTCACCGACTCTCAGTGATATAAGAAATACAAGTCGACAATGACAGTTACTCTGTTTTCTCTATTCTTCTTTCTTTTAATTTCGACACATACAATATTCATGTTGCTGTACTTAAATTCGAATAACAATAACAATAACAATAGCAATGCTCCGACATATTATTATCAAATTTCATTGAGTTGATAGTTCGTTTATAGACTTCAAGTCAAGGAAGATACGTTGCGTGATGTCCAAAAGGAAGGAGGATTTGATGTCTTTCGTCATAGCCCAAAGGCGCAGAAGCTCTCACATAGTCTTATGACTTCATTGTGATCAAGGAACGAACTGAGATTAATGATGAGACTTGAGGTTGGTATAAGGTGCTCGTCGAGTAAACACTGATAGTCATTGCGTTGAGTATACACAACTAGCCGCTCTTGAGCTTCGGATAGCTAAATACTGCTGATATCATTTGGAAATTGAGTTTCAGGTTACGGACACCGCTTTATAAAACGATACTTTTAAGCAACGACTCTAAGTGCCTTGCTGAATTCGGAGAATCTACGATGTTCGATTTTGGAGGCAACTTTGCTAGGTTGCATTTCACGGGACGTAGCTTTTCATCAGTTTTATGGAAAGATTCGATAGAAGTTGGCCATTGAGATCATGGCAATTATAGCCGCTTTGGTCCGTGCCACTATAAATGTACGTGAGACCATTTGCTGGAGTTGGTGGTGGCGCAATCTTGGCAACTATTAACCGCAAAAGTCGTCCACTTGCATGGTGGCTTCCTAAGCCAGGCTAGTACTATTGTTGAGTCGGTCCAGCAGAAAAGACAGTTTCGCAAGCAGGACAGCGCCACACAGCTCTAAGCAAGGAATAGAGATGGTCTTCACAGGAGTGACCCTGGTTTTCGCTGTCAGCAGGTGGACTGAAATATAATGCGTAGTTTCAATCTGGGTATAAATTGCTGCTCCGTAAGCGTTCTGAGACGCATCGCAAAAACCAAGGAACTGCAATTTGTTCTTAGAAGAAGATTGAACCCATCTGGGGATGCGTATCTTACTGAGAGTTGCATAACTCTCGAGGAATTCTTGCCACCTTTGTAGGAGTTGGTTTGGCAAGGATTGTTCCCAAAGCAGATCATGAAGCCAGCTCTGAAGAAGAAGATCTGAGCTTGAACTACGAATGGAGCTAACCATCCCGCTGGATCGAACAGTTTGTCGATTTGTAGAAGCACCTCACGTTTTGTGTGGGATTGCTTCACTTTGATGTCGGAGGGGGCGAAGAGGAACTCATCGGTTTCTGATTTCCAGCGTATACCAAGAGTCTTCGCCAGACTTGCTCTTCAATCTCCAAGGAATCAACTCGGAGTAGAAGTTTCGGAAGATTAATGAGCACAGCCTTGTCGTTGGAAGTCCGTTTGAGCAATGGAAATACAGTAGTGCCCAGAGCTGTGCGTAGCTCGTCGATGACTCGGACGACACAATTTTTAGTGTGTGCCCCGCAAGCACGTCGTCGACGTACATAAAATTGAAAAGGCGTCGCTTGCCAAAGGAATTCTTCTGTGAATTGGCTGAGATGGCTTGACTTAAGCCGGTCACTTCTGTTCGGACTGGATAGAACGGAAGCTTAATCAGATTGAATTGTCGTTCGGAGGTCAACTTCGCTTCCGATCCCGAATCAATGAGTGCACGTGCTGTGTAACAATTGCCCAAATGTCAAATGTTAATAATAGCCGTATTTAGGAGCGAAGCTTGTGCTTGTGGCAAAATAGTTTGACCCTTACCCATGGAACAAATTTGTTGACTCGGGCAATCTTTTAATTGATGCCCTCTCGCGAAACAGTTCTGGCAGAGTTGTTGCTGTTTGATGTAGTTGGACCTATCACCAACAGACATCTGCAGAAAACGGGGGCACAAGCGCACTGGATAGTTTTCTTTTGAGCAAAGTTTGCAAGATTGGGCTTTAACACTAACCTTGGCTTCATTTTTTAATTATTTTTGTAGTAGGCTCTTATCAAGCGTGTCTGGAGTGCACTTGTGCTGGGCTTCATGACCTTTGTCGCCTCTAGAGTGCGAAAGTTGAACAACGACTGTTCCCACAGCGAAAGTGTAGATGGGGAGTGGCGAAGATGAAGTTGCCGCCAGGATGTTTTGGGATGAGGAATTAGTTTCGGTATCTTGAGAATTGTGTAAGCATTTAGAAATGGAGTGGCCTGCGTCTTCACAAAAGGCAAATGCACTCGTTCCATTCTTAGTCAGTACAAACTTTCTTCTGATAATGTTGTTCTGGCCCACCTGGGATCTAGGCGTGAACATTGCCGTAGCGGGATTCGCATTTTCCAGCCAGCAACGCTTCTTAATGAAGGCTGTAAGACGCTCGCATGATGATATGACGTCCAACGGTGCATCATCCTCCCAGCTAGCTTGCATAGCGGTATCTAGTTTTTGCAGCAGCGTGTGTACTATGATACAACCGGCGATCTGTTCTATACTGCCCATCGGTTTTAACGCACGTAGATGAGAGTTGACCTTATCTGAGAATTCGCACAGCTGTGTCGTCGCACCCTTATCTACCTTTTTTTAGCGATGTGTGCCAGAAAAACAAAATGCTTGTTATCAAAATGCTTATCAAGCAGTTCAAAAGCGGCAGCATAATTAGTATTTAACATTTCCAACGAGCGAGTTGTATCCAGTGGTGTTCGTTTGAGGCATGACCGTAGATGCTAGAGTTTTTCAATTTTGGTCAAATACGGATTCTTATCAATCGCCGTGAACATGTTCGAAAAATCGGCCCATTCTTGGTAGCCTCCACTAAACTCCGGCAATATAAGTTGCGGCAATCGAAAGTGGCTTAAGACAACAAAGATAGAGCGCGGATCATCGGCTGCTGCTGAATGGAAAGTGAAACAATGTGGAATCTGCTGAACCCTGCTTAGATTTCCGCGCTCGTGTTGAAATGACACCCAATGACTGGAGATCATCTTCAAAGCTGGCCTGACTCACATCCAACAAACTATCATAGATGTTGTAATCTTGCAACTTAGAGTCATCAACATCGCGAAGTCCCGCGGAATCAAGTCAGATGACAATCTATTGAGTCGATCACTTAAATTCTTTATCTTTATTTTAAGAACAGCAGCCTGTGTTCCAACCGCCGCTTGATTTGCTGATGTCGCTTCACCATTTTCAGTTGCACTTGCACCTTAATTTAACATTGTGAATGTAGAGCCAAACAAGGTTCACGCAGCCGAACTACAATACACGTCTGTGCGCACAAGTGTTCGTTCGAACGAGATAGCGTATAGCTGGTTATCGCGCGCAACGATTAACGGCGATTTCGCTACGGCGTTTATGTACAACGACGAACTGTATGCAGATGCGCAAGCGATTTATTGATTAAGCAATCCATTTTATGTTGATGCGCGTAGCACATAACGAACGACTGGAGCTTGCAGTTACAAGTTACGCAACGAAATTGTAAAATAAAAGTAAATGCGAAAAGAGCGAAAGAAAAATCACGTCGGGGTCAAGTCTTTTTACAACGTTGTATCTATCGTGGTATAAGACTTTTCTCGACAACTTAGATTGACAGCATGAGTCGTCTCACGACTTGTCGGCTTGTAACGCCCTGAGACTATCCAACAAATAAGTGTCTTTTGCAGATTTGGACAATTCGAACTTTGTTTAATCTGACCGACAGAGAGATGTTTAAAGAACGGATCAGTTCTGATGAAGATGTGGATATTCTGTGGCTTGTGAAAATATGAATCAGCCAATTGCAGGTTCTCAGAGATCACTGATATTGCCGCATATTCTGAGCAATTCACTATTGAATGGTTTTCGGAACCGCAACACAAACATTTGGGTGTCACCTGATCATTTCTTATACGAACATCTATTATTATTTTTGAAATAGCCTTTGAATCTGAATTGGAGTCATTGGACGAAACTTTGGCTGAATTTTCAGCAAAAAGGTGTTGATACTTACGATTTAAGCTGTTTCGTAATCACTTCATAATAGAATGATTGCATAATCGAATTGCTCCTCTCATTTTCGTCTGGTCATTGAGTCAACTTTGTTCATAAGGAGGTGAATGAGAATTGCATTAGAAATCTTTTTGTCATCACCTAATGACAGGAGCCAGCCATTGATGACAGAGACAATATCAATCATTGATCTCGATGATGCCGGTAAAGGCTAAAGAAAGCCGAAATATGTTCATTGAATATTAGACATTCGTTGTCGTACACTTTCCTTAGGCTGTCTAATGCTTTTAAATAATTGTCTCACACGATCGCATGATCGTATGAACAAGAGTTTCACACAAGCTAATAAAATTCATGAACTCCGAGTATTTTCCACTAAACTTGGGAAGAGCCAGATGAGGAAGACTTGTGCGTGGAACAACAACGGGTATGCCTGTAGGCATTAGCAGCACTTTAAGATTTTATAACGGACCTTAAACCAGATTTTGTCGGGCTTGACAAAATAGATCATCACATAGGTCAAAAAATTCTACTCGATTCTGATATATTTTTAAGCTGTATCTACATGTAAGGCCAGCATTTCTAATGTACATTAGGTTTAATTAACTCTTTATTATTTGATCATTTCAACGCATTATGGGCATATTGCATTTGCTTTTTATATCGTCAAAAGTTACCTTAGTTGCCATATTTGGCTCTAAAGTCGATTTATTAATTATTAATTTAAATTGAATATCGAATTTGCCTAACGAAATCAAAAAAGGCACGTGCCTGATCAATAAAGAGTAGGGGAAAGAGCGTCTCTTGGCCGAAACGCGCCAACGAAAGTGCGTACAACAACAATTGCACAGCACAAAGCGGAACGAAAATAAATGGACTGCAGCTGGCTTCCTATGAACGTGCATGTATGAGTGTACTGCACTTATATAAAAGCGCTTGGCCTTCAGCAACTGTATAATTTAAAGTGGTTGCGAGTGATGGCAAGAGGAAGGAAACGACAACCACTAAGCGAAATGAAATTGTAATGACAATTAATTTTTGACAATTAATTAACATTCGCTCAAAAGCGCTACAGATCGCACAAATATGATATTATATACATAATTTCCAGCGGCTATTAAGACATTACCTGCGGTTCAAGACGTTGCACTTTAGATGCAACTTTCCTTGGCATTGTGATGACAGGAGAATAGATTAATTTTTGAATTGTTTCGGGCCGACGCGATTTTATTTTGTTTCTCAATTTAATTAACTCGCGATCCCCAGCTAGTTGCACTTTAACCACTTTTATATGCAAAAATTATCCCGTGGGCGCCTTGAGCTATTCATGCTGATTGGTTTTTGTATAATTCGACAACTGAACACTTTCAACTTCTTTAGGCTAAATTAAGCTTAACTGCAAAGCGAGGCTCATTCGCTCCCAGATCGAGTGACAAAGCTTTGTTGCGCTTTCACTCCGCCCTAAAACTAGCATACTATAGACTTCAACTTTTTTTTTATCAATTTAATTATTGAATGCGCAGATCGGCGCCAACAAAGCGTTTATATTGTTTTTCCGCCTCCCGTACTCCGGACTAAGGCAAAGCTTAGTAAAAGCGATGATTGGTAAATTGAAAAAAAAAAAAACACAGAGTGTATAGCTTTCATTGCTTTTTTTATCATCCAAACCAAACATCAAAAATAGGTATCAATATATTTTTTGGCATATTTATTGGAGAATAAAACGCAAATCCTTTGTTTATAAAATTTATATGTAAATCTTGCAAAATTAATCTCTAAATAAACACATTAAATTGTTTTTGTATTTGGGTTTAACAAATACTACTAATAAACTAATACTTATAAGAATAACTGAATTGGTTTAAAATTTTGTGGATGCTAATTAAAATTCATCATTAACCTCCGATTTGTTTTTTTGACTCGACGTTGTCATCGTTATCATCCTCATCATACTCGTAGTGACTCTTTTCTTAATCTTCTTCATCTATAATACGTCATATTTTCACCAGATTGTATATCTTTTACCCTAGCCCCTGGCAGCCGCCAACTCAATGTGGTTTATCATGAATATTAAATTTTTGATTATTAATTTCAGGTTAATACCAATCTCTTTTATTTGGGATTGGCCAATTGTTTTGGTTGCCCTCTCCTTTATATTCTGGATTATCCACCATAGGAGTTCCCATTCGCCATTCATTTCACCATTCCACTCCTCCGGTTTGGTAGCATTAGGGTTAGAAATCAGTATCAAGAATCCTCTGTAAAGGAAAATAAAAGATGTGATTGCAGAAGACGTGCTGCCAGACCTACTAGTTCTACATCTAAAAGTGCAGCAACGCAGTACACATTTTTTGTTCTCCAAATACTGAAGAATTTTTCTGACCATACAACGGACTTGCTCTAGGGAAACACCTGGGGCCGTCAGCCTATCTCTTTATATAAAACTGTTTGTCCTGACTGACTTATTGACTGACTGATTGGTGATCAACGAACAGCCCAAGCCGTAAGAGCTAGGAAGCTGAAATTTTCACTGTAGTTACCTTATGTGATGAAGGTGCACGTTAAGACGGGGTTTCGGGTAATTCCACTCGCAAGTATGGAAAAATCGTGAAACACGTTTGTATGAATCTTTTTGGTTTACCCTCCGATTGGCCTCAAACTCAATTTCTAAGTTCCTTGTTCAATTTAATTTGAGGGGTGTTTCACACTTTACCAAAAATGTATTCGTCCTCGGTGGATTTGGTGGATGACGTTTCGCCCTCAAATTCATTTTCAAGGATCTATATGGAAAATCATTTGAGACGTGTTTCACATTATCAGCAAATTCTAAGCTCCTTCGGTAGAAATGCGATTCAATGATTTTTTGGGCGAAGTTTTAAGTGGTGTCCGATTTGCTTCAAACTTATTTTCAAGGTTTTACATTAGAACTTAATGAACACGTGTTTTAGCGATTTGGGAAAGTGGTTAATTAACAAAAAACGTTGGAATGAAACTTTTTTGTTAACCATCGAATCGGCCTCAAACTCATTTTCATCTTTGGTCAATTTCATTTGCGGGGGTCAAAGATTTGGGAAGTGTCGTTTCGCGCTTAAATTCATTTCTAAGTATAGGAAAAATCATTTGAGACCTGTTTAACATTTTTTGCAGGATTAAATCATCCTCGGTAATTCGAAGATTTTTTTGGTGACGTTTTAATTTTTTTCCGATTTGCTTCAAAATTATTTTCAAAGCTCTAAATAAAAACTTAATGAATACGTGTTCCAACGATTTGAGAAATTCCCCCCGCAACAGTGGCAAATTGGCGGAAAACGTTTGTATGAAAGTTGTTTATTTACCGTCTGATCAGTTTAAAAATCATTTTCAACGCTTTTTGAGAACATTTATTTTATACGTGCCAAGGCCGGGTTATACCCGCTAGTCCAACAATATTTTCTTGAATATTTATAGTAGGCGGAAAGTCTATAATTCACTAGCATTTTCTACCTTTTATTGATTAGGGAAGCATCATTAGCAAGAATATCTGACTGGCACAGCTGTAATAGCGCATTTCAGAGCTCACGTACTCTACTCGCAGGCTCTTGACTTATAGTAATAATAATAGTGTAATATGGCGAAAATCGAAAATTATGTTGTCTGCAAGCACACGCCTTATCATCATAGGAAAAAGGGATATGCGGCTGGCGGAGGTTGGTCGGACGGAACCTGCCGCCCCCGCTAGGAACAACCAAATGGTTTTGCTCTATCTCGTTTTCAGAGTCTCCTGACTTAAGGGCGGCTTGTTAAAGTTGCGCTATTGTTGTTGACCTGGAGCACTAACCAAATATACATACGCATGTCATTAATGAAATTATCTTTTGCGCCCATGATCTGCCTATTCACACACATTTGTGTGTGTGTGTCTGAGTGTAGAGGTCGAAAATCAGAAATTCAAAAATCTTCTCAAATTTGCATCGGACAGGCAGGCAAGGTACAGTCACACAAGCGCTTCATATACAAAATATATACTATCTTCTTAGATATCTGTTATGCTGATATTGGTAAGATGTTCATTTCTTATTTCATCAACATCAATGTAAATTTTTGTGATTAATAAAGATGGCCTTGAATTTATGTATATATGAAAAAGTGTCAAAGTGTTCAGTAATGCCTCTATTTGTCTGAGGTCCTATGTGATGTTGTGTTCTTTAAAAAAGAAGTCCAGGGTATTTCTATTACGTCGGCATACATTTTGCACGTTTTATTTTCCAAGAAATGTGTCAAAAGCAGACCTGAATGTCGTCAAAAGTATTTGAAGTTTTTTACTTAATAAACCCTAATACTTGATTTCCTAAAACCTCTTCGCTTCTCTTCTCTACCCCTTCTTAGCATAGCGGTGTAACAACCTTTCCTAGTAGTTTGATTGTTTTTCGAAATTATCTGCAATTGATCTGCTGGATTTCGAGTTGACTGACCTTACTTTGTCACAATAGAAAGCCTTTATATTTCGCGAATATTTTTATTAATTGAAGAATCAATAGGTCGGACTATGGCAAACTTGAACAACTTACCGATTCACGACAGAATTTGGCGGAATTTGATGTGATAGGAGATTTTCTTAATACCTGTTTTGTTTTTTGGTGGCGGTTGTATATTTGCATGGAACAAGTGTTGCGATTTCCGGCTATTTCCGACGCTAAGTGGCTCGCTTTGGGGAAAATAGTCGTGAAGTACTTGCTTCGTAATTTCTTGCGCTGCTAGGTGGGCTCTATGTTGTTTTCCTGTCATGATCGCTGTTTGCTCAGCTTTGTTGCTAATATCTAGAACGAGATAATTGGTGAGCCTAAATGATGGGAATGAGTTAACTAACTTATGTTGGATGGAATCCAATATCGGAAGCTCGCAAAATATCGCGTTCACGACATCCAACTTTGCTATATATTATAATGTTTGGAATTGAGATTCGTGGTTTGAAAATCGACAATGTGTCCTGCTTTATTTTTGGAAAGCATGACAGTTTTTAAGAAAGCAAATCTGATACCTCAATTACAATTTGATTCCTAAAGTAGTTGTTAGTTTAATCTGTAGTTTCTCTGGAGAACTATGACTTTTAAATGAAGTTTAAAGAAATTATTTAAATATTTGCATCGACTTAAAAATACAGATTTTCCACCAAGCCAATCTTAGTACATATGTGAATACAAATTTGGGATAGGTAATGATCAGCGCTAGAATACTAACAAAATGTATTACTTTACCAGCGAAAACGAGACTAGTGATTAACAGCACAAATGTATATAGATATTTTAATTTACTTATGCATGCATAATTCACACATACAAATAAGGTGTATGCACGTCATTGGATGAGGCAAGAACTTCTCTCCTGCATATACAGTCCAAAAACAAAAGTAAAATCAACATATTTGTACTATTTTCTGACCATAGTCATTGCACAAGGAGCACTCTGTAATACAATTATTTCACTTTTAAATATTCCTGTAAAAATTATCATTAGTGTCGAGGGTTATGTATCATTCAAATAAAGCAGGCATTTATTGGATAAAGCAAAAGTACTATGCGTCTATCGTAAGTTCAAAACTTTTTCACTCAATGTTCTTCGAAAACAAAGCGACGCAAACTACCATCGACCAGCTTTGCTGAAGACAGGCTGGCGACTAACTTCTTGGCTCGTGTCAACATCATTCAATTGTATCGGCGTTATTCATCTTAGGGTTTATATTGTCTTTGGTATCACACGATTGCGAAGAATTTAGTAGTCAAATTTCACTCGCTGGGGGCGAGTTTAATTGTTGTCTGCAGCATTGTTTGTTGAATATTTACCTCTATCAATAGCTAGGCTCTAGTATTGCTTTTTTTTTTTTTCAATTTTAATTTGTTTTGTCGCAACGTTGGCAGGCGATTATTGTTTCTAAGCTAAAAAGCATGTCGCAACCACTGCCAAGGATTTCAGACTAATTACAGGGGCACCTTGGAGGACCGGGCCCTGGCAAGGGAAATTAAGGTTCTCTTAGTAAGCGACCTCTTACGACAGCAGTTCACCAGGTGCGTGGCCCGCCTCTCTGTTCACCCTTATATCCTGGAAAGAAAGCTATTCAGAAGAAAACGAGGAAGACCTCGCAGGATCCCATCGATCTCCCAAACCGGGTAGTTGGATATAGGTTAACCGAAACAATGAAAACAACGTACAAGACTTAATAATTAATGCTAAGGATGTTTTTCCCAATATTGTATAGAGGTTAAGCTAGTAAGGCAAAGTATAAACAAATTAACTTATAAAAAAAAAAGTATAGTAAAAATTATAAAAATCGCTTGTGGCGACGTAGGCTCTAGATTTTAATGCTGTTAAATTTCTTTGATCGCTATGCTGCGTCATTCAGCTGTTGTTGGCATATGCGGTCTTGAGACACCTTCTGTTTGTTTAACCTTATAGCCTAGACACATATCCCGATTACATTTATCCAATGGATAAAAATACCACGTTTTGTGTTAGTCAACGTAACAGTTAGGATTAAGCAAGATAGACCCCATAAGTTATATATTCGCTTTATCAGAACTACGGGCTGAATCGATCTAGTCATGTCTGTATGTCAATTTATGAAATTACAAAAGCTAAAACAAACTTAAAAATATAAATTCTCCTCTAATTCATAATTTCTTGTCAATTCTTGTGCCACCTCTAATATAATGACGGAAACTATGGTAAATAGGCTTATATATTTGGTATAAACACACACATGAAGCTAATAACCTCTGTCCACTGGCTTAAGAAATGTCACATTTTGAAATTTCACATATTTAAATTTCTTATTTAAAGTTGCCGCTTGCCTTCGGTGATATGCCACCTGTTTACGGTTAAAATACTTCCACATTTTCAAAACATCGATAGAAATTTCGACTAATCATCGCAAAAAAAAAAATGTTCGGGCCGAATTTACACATTTTTCAGAAATGTGACACTTTTAAAAAATGTGTGAAATATGTTTTCTTATGGGAAAACGCACAGGCCGCATTTTACACATTTTGCAAAAATTTGACATTTTCAGAAATGTGTTCAGTGGACAGAGGCTATAACTCTGAAGTTAATCACGAACACATAATATGCCCAATTGCATTGTAAACTGTGTTTCAAGCAACACCCGTGCACGAGTGCATTTGTATGTTTGATATTGTGTATGTAGAATGTTTGCAAAGAAAACCCGGCGAGGGGTATTTAACTTATGCATACATGTATATACTACAGGGTATTCCACGACTTTGCACGTGTCAAGTTTTGTTTTCCAAATTTTAGGTATAACTTTTTCACCCATTTCCAGTATTTATCATCCAAGAGTGTGGATTTTACGAAAAGTGTGTGACACCACAAATGAATTTAAGGGAAGATCTTTGAAGATAAGTTTGATCGAATGGTAAACAAAAAAGTTGCATACGACCGTTTTTCACAATTTTATGGATTTGGCTAAGCATTGATCACCAATCCGTTAGCCAAGCATGACAAACATATTTATATATAAAGAAGATATATATATTTATATGGGCAAATATTCCACTTGCGCTCATGAAAGTAATTATAACCATTTGTTATTGCGACTGTGAGCAGTGGCCTTTGGTTATGTTCTTAGTCTCTCATTTATGTAATTTCCAAATATTGAAGAATTGTTTTCCTTTACAAAAAAATAGATGAGCTAAGAATTAATATTTATTGTCATATGCCATAAATTATTATGAGAGGATGTCCGGCGAATTAATTATCGAAAGGAGGCGTATGACATCTACGCAAGCTTAGTAAAGCCCGTTATATTGGTCAACATGAGGAGGGCGAAGTAAAGCTGTTCGTCTCATGATGGGTGAGTACGCCTGATCATTGACCCGGGTTACTTTTTGGAAAAAAGTGAACTGCTGTCGTTTTGTTTATATTTAATAAATTCTTACCATTTTTGTTATTCATTAGTTCCAGCTGTTTATGCTGTTCATATCAGTGGTTAGTTTTTACTGATTTATTTAACCTTTCGAATCTCTTCAATCGTGACAGTTGAGCACATAACAACCAATCGATTTTCTTTTTATTGCATATGCCAAAGAAAAACAAAAATTTATTGCTATTATGTGCATTGTTTAGTAATAATAAGAGTGTGCGAAGTGCCCGGCAAGGGGATCCCCTGAACCCTGAAAAAATATAATGCCCGCACAGGTCTCGAACGATCAATTACTTTCAACCAACCAAACTACTTGCCTCACACATCACAGGCATTCCAAGAATTACGTTTTAATGAAAAACCTATCTGAAAGGGCAACATATACAGCGGACAACAACAATTAGTAATACTTCACTAATTGTTGTATTGTATTGTAGCACAAATTCTTCAATTATTTGATGAAAAAATCATAAGGTCTGTAAACGCCATCAATTATATCACAAATTAACAAAGTTCTTCAATCGATCTTAAAAAAAAAAAATATTTTTTAGCGTGTGCCTATTTTGATTTGCGACGGTACCAAAAAAAAAAAAACCCCCCAGCTAATAAATATATTTTGTGTGTGGCGCCGATAACGATTAGGGTTTTAGTTTATATACCAGTGCTCCCAACTTTTGACGATCAAATAATTAATTTGAATTGTTTTTCTGGTTAAAAATAACGCATTCGCTAGATAGTTTATGCAGACTTATATATATATATATTTAACCTTTCATCGCTTAGATTCGTATTACAAACCCTTCTACTCATTCATTAATTGTATAACTTATTATTTTTCAACTGAGATCTAATGATAGTCCGCCATATAAAATATTTGTTTTATTCGATACTCACTGACTGTCCTAGAGACTAAACGATAATATTTGTCCATATTTAAATAAAAAAAAGGGTTAAAATTAAAAAAAAAAAATGTATAAATGAATAAGTAGTTATGTAGTTTACCTGAGAAATCAACTCAAAATTTTCTGGTCATCTTGATGATTATATAACATCTGATTCTAATAATCGCATTATTAACAATAATTCAAATTCCTGTTCGGCTATTCACATTGAGCTCCGTACTAGGCTCATGAATTTGAAATCGAAATTTAATTTCGCCCATCGAATCGATTTCAATGTTGTGCTATTTTTCAACACTCTTAATACGTAGACAATTTTGATTGGTCCACATATGTCCAATCAAATCGTTCCACCCATTTTGCTAAGTTATATTTTCATCTCTTTTTAACATTCTCTATATTCAGTCTAAATAACCTTTCTCATAGCCGGCATTTGAACAGTAGTATACAAATTGCTCAGTTTGTAGAAGTTCGTTACTAAAGTTTTTTGAAGTAACACGCGTTATGATGTGTTTTATAGCAATTATTGCATTATTAACAATAGGCGTTACAAGTGCCGAAGTATTTTTTGAAGAAAAATTCGAAAACGGTAATTTTTTAAGGGAGTAATTTCGTCACGTTTTTAAGTCTTATATATTTTATAGAAAATTGGAAAGATGATTGGATTTACAGTCAACATCCTGGGAAAGAATTTGGCAAATTTATACACTCTGCTGGGTCTTTTTTTAACGATGCTGAAGAAGATAAAGGTATGTGACCAATATTAAAACAATCCAATACCAGAAAATATTAAATAAAATATTACGTTTAGGCATTCAAACATCGCAAGATGCTCGATTTTATGCCTTGTCTAAAAGATTTGATGGATTTTCGAATGAAGCTAAGCCATTGGTAGTTCAATTTTCTGTAAAACATGAGCAAAATATTGATTGTGGAGGAGGTTATGTGAAACTTTTTGATTGTTCCCTAGACCAAACTGACATGCATGGTGAATCGCCTTATGAAATTATGTTTGGTCCGGATATTTGTGGACCTGGTACAAAAAAAGTTCATGTTATCTTAAGCTACAAGGGCAAAAATCACTTGATAAACAAGGACATAAGATGCAAGGATGACGTATATACCCACTTCTACACCCTAATTATTAAGCCAGACAACACATATGAAGTTTTGATAGACAATGAGAAAGTGGAATCTGGAAATCTTGAAGATGATTGGGATTTCTTGGCACCCAAAAAAATAAAAGACCCAAATGCGAGTAAACCAGAAAATTGGGATGATAAGGTACGATGTCTATATTTGTTTGTATATATATTATATATATTTTACTTTATTTAATTCATATGTATATTCATACCTGTGCCCACACGCGTCAATTTTTTTTATATTATTTTTGTACCAAAAGTATGGTCTTTAAGTATTTTCCTAGGCCTGCATCAAATACTCGAGCCTTGAACGATTTTTACTCATTTTAATGATTTTTAATGCTAGTTAAATACTTTTTATTACGTATCACATAGAATTTGGTATCAAATTATTTATATTTAATGATGCTGACTAAATAGCTTATTAATAAACTTGTTTTACTGCATAGTACAACATTTGAAAAGTTTGGTCCCGATTGATAAATTTTGCCATCAGCTTAAAATTTTAAATCTTCTTTACACAGGCGACGATTCCTGACCCTGATGATAAGAAACCCGAGGACTGGGATAAGCCACAACACATTCCTGACCCTGATGCTACCAAGCCCGAGGACTGGGATGATGAAATGGATGGTGAATGGGAACCCCCAATGGTAGATAATCCCGAATATAAAGGAGAGTGGCAGCCGAAACAATTGGACAATCCCAATTATAAAGGAGCTTGGGAACATCCGGAAATTGATAATCCAGAATATAGTCCTGATGATAACCTTTACCTTCGAAAAGAAATTTGCACTTTGGGATTCGATTTATGGCAAGTGAAATCTGGAACAATATTTGACAATGTTCTTATTACTGATGACATTGAACTGGCAGCCAAAGTGGCGGCTAGTGTAAAGGATACACAATCTGGTGAAAAAAAAATGAAAGAATTACAAGATGAAGTACAAAGAAAAAAAGACGAAGAGGAGTCAAAAAAAAATACAGAAAATCACGATGAGGAAGATGACGATGATGATGATGAGAATATCGAGTCGAAAAACGAATCAGAAGACAATGGGCACGATGAATTGTAATAATGATAAATAGTTATTAATACAAGTATAAACGAATTCATTTGTCCCTATTCAAGTGGTTTGACAAATATAAGCAACTTTTATATTGTTTATGTAGAATTACAATTTGCAAGACTTATAATATAATTTATAAATAAAGGATTTGCATATTATTCTGCAATAAATTTATTTATTTATTTATTAATGGTCGACAAAACGAGTGTCTTCCTCATTATTCAATAGATTATACAATAGAATTTTATGCTAAAAGCCTAGTTAAAGGATACAATTTTCTAAATAGCATCACCGACCGATGGAGGTGTTTTATTTTCCAGTCCGGCCAGCTGTGCCCCTTTTCACAGCTAATTTTGTCAGTGACGCTATTAGAGCCTACATCTAAGCAGAAGGTTGTAAGTAGGAAAAAAGTGTTCTCAAGTAACATTAAAATAATCTTAATTTGCTATATTAATAAAGAAAATACAATAAATAGGAAAAATGAAAGTAAGAAGATTATTAATAAAGTAAAGCAATGTAAGTTAGATAAAGAGTGTTAAGTAGATAGGACAAAGAGAAAAGTAATGGGAAATCACCGACCCGGTGGGGGAAAATTTTTTCAGCCTGTCCGGCAAGCTATGCCCCTGCTCATAGCTTGGAATGGTCAGCGACTTCCCGAAGGTATCCTGAAAGCAACGATTTTATTAGGGGTAGAGACAGTTCGGTAGAGAAAACGTGATGCAAACTATTATAATTTTTACATAGCACGCGAAAAGGATTGTGCATAGCGTAGTCTGTTGTGCACGTAGATAGTAAAAAGGGGCGATAATTTCTGGTTGGTCTAGCCGGAACAGAGAATTGAAGACGCCCTAGCAGAAAAGGAGAATCTATGTCGCCAATGATCAACTTATGTAGAAGGACAACACCGAGAATTGTCCTACGGTTGGTTAACGACGGATGGTTGAGAAGAAGCAGTCTGCTGGAGAAGGACGGCAAGCGAAGATTAGGGTCCCAATTTAAACCTCGTAAGGCAAAAAGCAGAAATTGCTTCTGAACAGATTCAATACGATCCTGGCTGTTGTTATACTGTGGAGACCAGATGCAAGAGCAGTATTCAAGGATAGGGCGAACAAGAGAGATGTACAGAAGTTTTGTTATAAAAGGATCGTTAAACTCTTTAGACCATCGTTTAATGAATCCAAGTACACCTTTTGCCTCATTAACGATGGTATCTATGTGAAGATTGAAACAGAGTTTAGAATCAAAAATTACGCCTAGATCCTTAACTGTTAGTATACGTTGCAAAGGGAGAATGTCGATTGTATAACTGACAAGATAATGTGTAGTACGATTAAAAGTCATAAACATACACTTTGAACAATTTAGATGCAATTGATTGGCCGAACACCATAGTTGCATAGCGTTCAAATCGTCTTGTAGACGATAATGATGTAGGGGATTAGTGTATGATAGAAAAAGGTTGACATCGTCCGCATACATGAGTACACGGGCATGTGATATAACAGAGGGAAGATCATATATAAAAAGAGTAAAGAGTAAAGGTTCGAGATGACTACCGTGAGGAACACCAGTAGTGACGTGAACCTGTTTAGAGGTAGTCAGCCTCAGCATTACTCTTTGGGTCCTACCTTTTAAATAAGAATTAATCCAAAGCAAAAGAGACGGGGGGAAACCTATTCGGTCAAGTTTAAAAAGTAAAATGTCATGGTGCACAGAGTCAAACGCCTTACTGAAGTCAGTGTAAATGACATCAGTTTGCATTTTCGAAAGGAAAGCATCGTTTACCAAGGAAGTAAACTCAAGCAGATTGGTCGTAGTTGAGCGATTCCTTACGAATCCATGTTGAACAGGGGAAACAACTGATTTGCAGAAATGCTGCAAATTCGAAGTGATTATTTTTTCAAATAATTTAGGAATAGCGGACAGTTTTGCAATGCCCCTGTAATTTCGTATATCAGACTTCCCATCTTTCTTGTGAAGAGGAATGATATAAGATTCTTTTCAAAGAGATGGAAAGACAGAAGTTTCAAGGGATAGATTAAAAAGCTTTAGCAATGGATAAAGAAGGGAAGAACTACACTCCTTGAGTAGACAACTAGGAATATTGTCCGGCCCAGGAGAGTAAGAAGACTTTAAAGAGTTTATAGCTAATAGGAGAGAGGAGTGTGAAATAATTAGAGGAGGTATATAACTTGCGGAAGAAATAGTATAAGGGTAAGAATTAGTATTAGGACAGACTGAAGAGTAAGTTGATTGGAAAAAATTAGCAAAGAGTTAGATAATTCTCATAGCATTGAGAATTAAGAAGAAAGAAGTTCGACTTGGCTGTGGAATATTTAGCCAAGTCTGTACACGAACCAGACTTTTTAAACTTTTTAAAATATTTGGATTTTACATTTTTTAGATGTGATAATCTGGTAGTAGAAGTAGAAGAGATAAAGGAGGGGACCTACACACATTAGAAATAAGGTAGTCGTTAACAAATACAAGGTCAAGTGTTCTAATCAAATGATTAGAAATTGAATTGATTTGAAACAACGAAAGATCAAGCATGCAGTCTATAAAATCGTGCTGTGCTGAGGGCACTAGATAATTTTTGGCAGTAAATAATGACCAAGAGATGTTGGGCAAATTAAAATCACCCAATACCATAAATAGGTCATTATCACGCACGTGTGAAGAAACTTCTTTAATACAAGTAATATGTTTCATATAAACTTGAATATCAGAAGAAGGTGGGACATAAGAGCATGTTACATAGATATTCCGTGTGGGAAAAGACACCTTAACTGACACAATCTCAGCGTCAGTAGGCGTACTAAAAGAGAATAGTTCAGACTGGAGAGTGGCTTTAATGGCAATTAACACCCCACCACCTCGAGTCGGCGGATCATTTCTAAACAAAATAAAGTTATTCGGTAAAATCTCAAAATCAGATATGGTTGAGTTTAACCATGTTTCTGAAAATGCTATTATATCCGAATCAAAGGAAGTGCTGGCCATGAAAAGATTTTTAAGCTTTGAAATGAGACCTCTGACATTCTGATAATGAATAAAGATTTGGTCAGAAGATGAAGCTAGTTTTTTGGGGCAGAAATGGTACCCTGTATTGAAGGGACTGGAAGGGTGACAGGCTGGTTACGCTTATTAGGCTTGAACTCGTGAACAATCATGTGTGGAGACCAAAATTTGGGATCACAAATAATTGGGAACTTATTATGTGAAACATTTATTTTGAATGATGATATTTCACGAGGGGTGGAGAAATTAAATTTGGTTATTGACACGCTAGCAGAAGATTTGCTAGCAATATAGGCTGCCAATGACTCAGAAACAGGGAAACGTAGAGGGCAATTGCAAAAGTTGAGGCTCCAACCGGCGATTGGTTGGGGACTCAAATTTATATTTGCCAAGCAACTCGAAACTCGAGTCAAAATTACTCGAGAGCTGCTTAGCCACATTATTTAATTTTAAGAATTGATTTCTCACAGAATTATACATTCTGGAGATATCAATTTGCTTGTCGATGCATTCTGGGCACGACCAACGCAAGCCACCACAGCCCTTCTTGGCAATAGCAGCGATCTTGTCGCAATCACGCCCAGTGAGACCTGCACATTAAGCATGCATCATATTCTCACACATCCAGCAATTAACAAATTGCCGCAGTGCAGAATCACGGCACGTGCACGGTTTTTTACAGCACGACATAATTATTAAATGCGTATGCAAGTTGCGAGAGCGCAGAGCAAAACGAAAACGGTGCACAAGATAGAGCAAGTAATCACTCAAAAAACAATTATTCGTACACAAACAAATTGTTTGAAGCGAAAAGCAATAGACAAAATTTGCGAGAGCTCGATGCACAAGCAGAAAGTATGCAGCGAACACACGCACAAACAAGTGTATGCACAGGGGAGCACCAAAGCAAAAGAATCAAAACAGGCAATAACAACAACACGGAACTGATGCCGCGTTTTATAAAATGCAATAATTAACAGACTTACGCTGTACAACAGATAACACTTTGCACAGTTTATAAAAGCTTTTAAAATAAAGCACCGAAAAATGCAAAATTTTGAAATAAAAAGCAGGATAAAAGCGCAAAAATATATAAAAATCTTGGAGCACAAGTAAAACACGTCAATCACTCTCAACTGAGAACTCTCTAAATATGTCAAAAAATATATTTTTTATACCTCTCACTGATCTTTGATGCGGGTGCTAAAAAAATATTTTTTTTTTTTAAATAAGGAATACATGACAGTTGTGCGATAACACAAAGCATTACAAACTGTGTTTTCTTATTTCGTCGATCGCTACTTTTTCTGAGCCACAGGTTCGAATTGGAGGCTTTTTAGGTGGATTTTCGCTCTGCAAACGTCGCACCAGCCGAATGGCTTTTCACTCTTAAGCGGGTACATGCATAATTTAAATTGGCTTTGTGGTGATGCGAGAAAATTAACTAAAAAGCTTTGTAAATACATGTATGTTTAAATAAGAATTATATATTACCTTAAATGTAATTGTTAAATTTACAAAGCAAATATAGTTTCTAGTTTTAATATGGCATGCTCACATTATCAAAAAGTTAGTTTGTCCCAATTATTGGTAATGCTGATACAAATACAAGTCAAGACATCCGGCCAACCCTAAGTGTTAATTATTCAGAATAGAACATTTTGGCAATGACCACCAACCTTAGCAGACTCCTCGTGTGCGTCTAAAACTATGTTGACGTCAGCTTTCCCATGCATTGGCTGTTCGCTTGGACGAATTGCTGTATCAACGAATAAAGGTCACAGGGCTAACTTCGCTTTCAGAATACTCAAAAAACACAATTTTTCCATATTTGATGGCAAATATTCAGATCATAGATCAGATCGTTATATTAGCGCATTCGCAAATCTCAGATCACATAATTCTCCTAAATAAAATAACTTTTTTTTTAAATATCTGCAATAAAATGGTCGCCTTTGTCATAAGGTTCTGAACAGGATATCATGAATTTAATCGTGATTCATATCATGATGGCGAAAGCTGATTATGATATGTATTATGTACACTAACCATACAACATATGGACAGGATAACGGGCAGCTGGA